CCTCCTTTGCTTTTTGCCCAGGCCCATTCTGAAGTCCCAAGTCAGAGGCCCATCCTCAGGCTTGTGCAACTGGCTGCTGTTGGGGGAGGGGAAGGAGATGAGGAGAATATGGTTTCTGTTAATTTGTTTACAAGAATGTTTACAATCATGGAAATTCTGTGTGGCTCTGACAGGCCCTTTCGAGACAGCTGGATTGAGCAACAGCATCTGTATATACACTGATGCTGCAAAACCCCAGCAGGGAGGGTCTTAGCCCCTGCCTCCCAGACCTGCTTGCTCCCTTCCACTGTCACCTAGTCCTTCTCCCAGAGCCCACAACAAGATCAATCCCTACAGTCTATTTCCAAGAGTCTGCCTGGTCTAGCCCTAACTGTTCAGAGCACAGGGTCGCCCCACAGTTCCCTGCCTACTATCTCACTCAGCAAATAATGTGACCAGCCCCTGTGTCTCCACAGCCTGGGGGTCCATGAAGTCCTGTTCATTCTGGCTCATCTGTCCCTGCCCAGGTTCCCACCTGCTAAATTTGCCAAGGCCCATCAGCTTAAACAAGCAGCCCACTTGCTATTCCACCCTGATCTCCCATCACAGCTCACTCATCTTACCCATTACAAAGATAGTGTCCCTAATTATCACCTCTAATAGCATTAGCTCACAGACATTTACCTTCCCCATCCCCCTTCTGTTCTGAAATTTTATTTGTCCTTTTCATGTGTGTTCTTTTTTTTTTTAATTGTATCCTTTGGTATATATGGTTGTGACAATTTTCTTCCACTATTTGATCTGAGGAAGTGGGTCTGGCCCATGAAAGCTCATCACCTAATAAACCATCTTGTTAGTCTTTAAAGTGCTACATAGTCCTGTTTTTTGTTTGGTCTTACTGGTGAGACAGGACCACCTAGAGGCCAAGGTGCATTGAGCCAGGCGTTGTACAAACATGACAAGAGGGCAGCTCCTATCCTCAAGAGTGTAAGACAAGAGATAGCAGGTGCAACAAACAGATGGGATCCTCTGGTGATCAGGAGTGTCATCCATTCACAACACGGCAGCTGCCTTGCCATTGCCAAGTATTTTGTAAACACCACAGCATAAGTAGGTTTTAAGGAGAGATTGAAAAGGAGAATAGTGCAGTGGCCCCTGTGTACTGCTTCTGGTGAACCCAGAACCAGTCAGCACCTAGAGCTGCTGTGCACATTTTACAAAGAATGTGGAAAAATTGGCAAGAGTCACAGGTGGCTGCACATAGGGACTGGGCATCTCACGCTAAAAGATCTGCATCAGCTCTGGCAGGAGTCACATGGTGAACTGTTTTGGCCTGTGTTATCCAGATGGTCAGACTAACTCGGAATAGGTCCTTTTGGACTTTAACATCCACTAATCTCTTTATCAGGGAATCCCAGCAGGAAGGACCTGCTGTTATTTGGGGGGTCTCCCAATTAGCCAGTAGAACTGTATCAAGCTGGGAGGTGACTTATGTTGAGAAAAGGGAATCAGAAGGAAACCAACACACACCTTCTAATCTGGGAGCCAAGACAGGACTGAAACCCGTGATTCTATCAGTAATTACAGTGTGTGCATGTAGGGGAACAGAGGGGAATTGCAGATGCAGAAAAAAAATTCAGTGAAGCTTAGTTGCTGAGGGGTGCACTTTTAGTGCTATCATACTAAAGCTGCTGCTCCACATTGTAACAAGGAATGCAGTGGCACCTTAAAGACTAACAATTTTGTTACAGCATAAACATTCATGAGTTGGAACTTACTTCATCGTTTGCACCAGGAAAAAGAAACAGAAAGCAGGGATCCAGAGACAGGAGTGTTACCTCAGAAATAATTAAGAACATAAAACATAAGAACAGCCATACTGGGTCAGACCAAAGATCCATCTAGTCCAGTATCCTATCCGCCGACAGTGGCCAATGCCAGATGCCCGAGAGGGAGGGATCACAACAGGTAATTCTCACATGATCCCTACCCTGTCACCCACCTCCAGAGAAACAGATGCTAGGGATACCATTCCTACCCTTCACCGAATCCTCTGGCAAGCAGTTCCACAGCTTGACTGTGCTGCTGAGTGAAGAAAAACTTCCTTTTCTTTGTTTTAAACCTCCTGCCTATTAATTTCATTTGGTGACCCCTAGGTCTTATATTGTGGGAATAAGTAAATAACTTTTCCTTATTCACTTTTTCCATACCAGTCATGATTTTATAGACCCCTACCATATCCTCCCTTAGAAAAGGGGAGACTAAGCTGAAAAGTCCAAGTCTTTTTCATCTCTCTTCATATGGGACCTATTCCAAAACCCTAATAATTTTTGTTGCCTTTTTCTGAACTTTTTCCAATGCCAATATATTGTTTTTGAGATAAGGCAACCACATCTGTACACAGTATTCAAGATGTGGGCTTACCATAGTTTTATATAGAGGCAATAAGATTTTTTTTGTCTTAATCTCTATCCCTTTGTTAATGTTTCTTAACATTCTATTTGCTTTTTTGACTGCCACTGCACACTGAGTGGATGTTTTCAGAGAACTATCCACAGTGACTCCAAGATTTCTGTCTTGAGTAGTTGTAGCCAAATTAGTTCCCATCAAATTGTATATATATAGTTGGGATTCTTTTTTACTTTACATTTATCAGCATTAAATTTCTTTTGCCATTTTGTTGCCCAATCACCTAGTTTGATGAGATCTTTTTGAAGCTCTTTACAGTCCGCTTTGGTCTTAATTATCTTGAGCAGTTTGGTATCATCTGCAAGTTTTGCCACCTCACTGTTTACCCCTTTCTCTAGATCATTTATAAAATAAGTTGAATAGGATGAGTCCCAGGACAGACCCTTGGGGGATCCCACTAGTTACCCCTCTCCATTCTGAAAGTTTACCCTTTATTCCTACCCTTTGTTTCCTGTCTTTTAACCAGTTTAATCCATTAAAGGATATTCCCCCTTATCCCATGACAGCTTACTTTACTTAAGAGGCTTTGTTGAGGGATCTTGTCAAATTTTCTGGAAATCTAACTATACTATATCCACTGGATCCCCCTTGTCCACAGGTTTGTGAACCACTTCAAAGAACTTTAGCAAATTAGTGAGGCATGATTTCACTTTACATAAACCATGCTGACTTTCCCCCCAACAAATTATATTCATCCATGTGTCTGACAATTTTATTCTTTACTATAGTTTCAACTAATTTGCCTGGTACTGACGTTAGACTTATCAGTCTGTAATTGCCAGGATCATCACCTCTAGAGCCCTTTTTAAATATTGGCATCATGTTAGCTACCTTCCAGTCATTAGGTATGGAACCTGATTTAAAGGATAGGTTACAAATCACAGTTAATAGTTCTGCAATTTCCCATTTGAGTTCTTTCAGAACTCTTCGGTGAATGCCATCTGGTCCCAGTGACTTGTTACTGTTAAGTTTATCAATTTGTTCCAAAACTTCCTCTAATGACACCTCAATCTGGGACAATTCCTCAGATTTGTCACCTAAAAAGAATGGCTCAGGTTTGGGAATCTCCCCAATATCCTCAGCTGTGAAGACTGAAGCAAAGAATTAATTTAGCTTCTCAGCTATGACTTTATCATCTCAGTGCTCCTTTAGCATCTCGATTGTCCAAGGGCCCCCACTGGTTGT